GATTTGGTTTTACTTATTGGCCTCCATGAACTTGTACTTGTGCACCAGGAGCAGTTTACATATTGGCTACAATCATGCTAATTTACTGATAATTATCTATATATAGAGTGAYAATAAAAATATCACGGCTTTCATACTCTCATTTTGAACATTAGTCCACTAAAAAAACATAAAARTATCTTCGTGTTTACTGGGTTAAACACTCACACATGCAACGAGCAAGCAAWKAGAGCTTCAAAGCTCCAATGACCGRGAATAGTTGTGATGGCGAACGGGTGGCATGAACAGAAATAAGCTTGTTGGACAGAGATATAACAGAAATACCGAGAAACTTAGAGCAACATGGATGTGTGAGCACATACATATATACAAACACATGTATGACATGCTTAATTGTCATTGATTTGCTGGTCCCGAGAGCACGCAAATATGCAGCGGCAGCAGCCTCCGACGACAGCACAGGGCCAACTGCACACGCTTGAGGGCAGCAATTTCCGCAAAATTCATTATTATTATCAGCATCATTGGCAGCAGTGCAACACCAAATCACGCCACAGCTAATGCTGAGATTGCGTTTGGAATTTTCATTAGTCAGTGGGTGAGGTGCAAATGACTAAACCACTACACCAACCACGTCGCAGTGTGTGTCTTAAATAGAAATACACTCGCAGCGAATGCATGACTGACTATTCAAATTACTTCTTTGTGGCCGTGGCTGTTAGTTGTTTTGTTTGGCTTTATTGTGCTTTGGCGAAGTGCATATTAACAGCCAAGGGTATTTAAAACGACCACTTTCCCGGCATCACTCACTTCACACTCAATAGCGCGCACTAAGCGCTCACACACACACACATACACTAAAGTTGTAGTTGTGTAGGGTGGCTGTGCGATTTGTCGAGCGCTCGTGGAATTCCTCAAAGTGGGAAATTCTCTTAAGATTGCGCTGGTGAGTCCCCGTTCAGACAAATTGCGGTGCGCACCATAAAAATCAATCAGCGCGCACACTTAATAGCTGAATAGGCGACGATATACATATGWACAGTTATATGCATATACAATATGCGCTAAGTGCGGATGAGCTGCCGTGTATTTGACAGTTACGTGTGCGCTTCGCTTGCGACGTGGCCGCCGGTCTGGCAGCGCGCTGCTGGCATTTTCATTAAGCAAAAGCCGAAAAGGCATTGGTGTTGTTGCTCTTGCTGGTTGTGCGGGGGCTCGACGGTATCTTCGTGTAGGATTTTCTAAAAGCGACAAATTATTTTCATTGTCTGTTTTTTGRCTTTCCATTTCAATGGAAGCATTTTTTCTTTTTGTTGTTGGTCGCTTCTTCGGTATAGCATTAACCAAAAAAATTTTTTTAAGAAAAGGAAAACACAAAAATAATTGAAGCGCTGCATGTGCTAAGCATTTACGCATACATTGCGCATKCATGGTTTTTTCAGCGCGATCTTGCATAAAAATTCAGCGTTTTTCACACTACGCGTCCCAAGCGCGACGGTATAGCTTGACGTGCGCTCGGATTTTTTCCATTTCGAAATTCCAGTTTGACTGGCGGTTTTTCGATTTCCCCTTTTGCAATGATTTCGTTTTTTGCAGAACGTTGTATTGTAGTCAAATGCATGCGCAGAAAAATGCTACAGCGGTATGCAAAGCAACACCCACACAGGCGCATACATACGAGTACACACGCGCGTACATAAATAAAAACTCGCTTATATGCAAATCGTCAGTAGGCTTGAGCCATACAGAGCTACATTTGCTATTGGTAGTTGATGTGTTGGCGCGTGTATATGTATGTGTGTGTGAGCCGATTGTGAAAAATGCGCGAAAATTTACATTTAGCCCTGTTGCTGTCATTACTCTGTTTTCGCATTTCACGTTGCATTAGTTGTTGTTGTTGGTGGTGCTCCRATTTTCACGCCATCTCGGCTGATTGTTGTAAATGTGTGTGCGTTTGTTGTTGCATTCGACAAAGCGCTGTTGGCTTACTTTTCCTGCTTTATTATTGTTGCTGACAGCGTTTTTGTTTTTGTTGCTGCTTTTTATTATTGAAAATCACTTCTCAACCACTTTGTGGGTGCTTAAACTGCCGACAGTCCCACTGACACTTTGATGGATGCATTTTCGATTTTTTCACTTCGCACTGGCGTTTTTCATGCTTTTAAAATTAAAAATAAATTTTTGAAAAGAAATCTACTCAGCTCTGCTGTGTCGATATTTCATTTTCTTTCCGAAAATATCCATTGATCGCTGTGACGTCTCCTTAACTACCAACACATACACACATATACTTTTGCAGTGGTACTCCTTCCTGTGATTGGATACACACACATACGCACATAATACAAAAAGAGATATATTCACTCGTAAATTGGAGAATTTAGTAGCAGTGTGTTTRGTACGAAAGTATCATTAAATCAAATCTAAAATAACAAATCGCCTAAACTGAAAGCTACAAATCGCCGATCGACAGGCACATTCTTCATGGGGATTATTGGCCACAGACGCATTTGGGTGCCCAGATGGTGTGGGAAAATAGATATAACTGTTTATGCAGCGCAGCCTAAATGTTTATGCAGTGTTCGCTTCGTTTGTTCATTAATTTTTAGGTGAGGATTTTTCTATTTAAATGCAGTTAGAATACTCTTATAAATTTTCGTAAGATTTTCTTATAAAATTAATTTGCATAATTTGCGATTTCATTCACAGCATATTATTTTTATTTCAAAGGCAGCAATGTACGAATAAGCTTACTGTATATTCCACAATAAGTATCTGGAACAGATTCCCTCATTCATAATTGAATATTTCAAAATTAGTTTTCGTTCGACTATTTGTGTTGGATCAATAAGTTAAGATAGCTGTTTTCGATTCGCCTTTTTTACTTTTAACAGCAAAGTTATGGAGTTGAATTCGTATTAGACAGTATGCGRATAACTCTTCAAAGATTCAAATAAAATTATAAAGAGTTACTGAAAGCAAAATTTTTCCACCGAAGATAGGATCGCAACATGTTATCATAGGATTACACCGCAGTGAAAAAAAACGATATGTTTTGTTGTTCCATTCRCTTCTCTCCAACGTTGCAACGTTTGGCGAACCGAAGACAGTTTATAACTCTCAAAGACAATAACGCATATGCAAAGATTTAGTCYAGTATTAATCCCTAAACAGAAAATTATTTACACATCTTTTACTTCCTTCTTATATTACAAACATTTAGCAATTGCTTTTACGAAGTAATTTAACTATGCGCAAACAATGCTCTGTTAAA